TTGTTTAAGTTCTTTGCATGGGCAATGAATGACAAGGCAGAGTGACGAGTTCCTTGCTTCTGCACCTCACACCCTGCCCCACAATCCCGTCTTAAAAAAAAATAAATCGATCAGCATTCTTGATCCTTAATCTTTGCCTCACTTCTCTCCCTGTGCCAAATTGCAAACGGTAATTAGGGAGCCGAAATGCTCACAAATGACTAGCCTTCTGTTTCCAATTAAGGAAGAGGTTCTCCCACCCTACCAGATTTACATTGTTCTTGGTGCACTTAAAGCGTCTTAATGTTTCCTGTTGGCAAAATGCGTATTTCTAGAACGTCTGGAATTTTTTATGTTAGCCCTGGGCTGGGAGGCTCCACCCTGGGTAGCCCCTGTTTCATTTTGCTAGAACTAGACGGAGGGTATTTTGAAAGACAGCCAAATAAAGAATTTTTTTTTAACAAAAAATAATCAGAATGTTTAATGTAAAATAATCTAACAATACCCCAATTAAGGAACTGCTAAGTCAGACAGTAAACAGCCTAATTAAGGAAGCACCAGGAAAACTCCCACCAATGCTCACAGGGCAAGTTGCTCGTATAGCAACAGGAGAGCAAAGCCCACTTCCTTCTCGTACTGATGTTATCTAGTTGGGTAATGAAACATCTGGAAGAAAACCACCAAGCTCAGGGGACACCAAGGATCCCATTGCCACTTTCCTCCCTGGCCTTCAGTCGGCAAACCCCACTTCCTTCTAACATTGATGATGTTACCTAGCTGGATAATAAACATCTGCAAGAAAACTACCAAGCTCAGAGAGTACCAAGGACCCCACAGTTCAAACATGAGCTGCAAACCTTCTTTTATAGTAGAATCAAACAATGCCTATCACCAAGACAACTCTAAAATATTTAAGCCAGATTTGATGACTGCAGGCAAGTGGGCAGTACAAGTTTAAATTTCAGTTCATTTGCAAAGTTCTGAGAAGAAACTCAGAATGAATATCAGCGTAGGTATGTCGCTTCGTGCCATTAATCTGTGCCTACCTCTCTGCATACCTGGGATTTCAGTCCAGCGAATGGGATGGGAATAATAAGCCCAAATTTCTCTTTCATATTTTCATTTTATCCCAGCTTTAAAGTTTTATATAGCTGCAGTGGTTAGCTTTTGGCCACATAAGTATAGACCACTGTGAATCCTTTTATGTGGTTCCCCTGGTGTATTTTCTGACTGCACTGCTATAATTCAGCTACACTGTAAGCCTAAAACTTAATAGAGGTGTCAGGATTCTGGTAGTTACTCCGATTAAATCATGACCCTCGAGCCACACTCCCAAAACTAAAGAGCATTTATTAGAAGTTAACATTCCAGCAGTTGCCTGGGCGCAGCCAACTCTGAGATACATAATTCACTGTCACCCTTGACCCTGTTCCCCCCGCCCCCAGTCCCCTGGGTGTACCAGCCAATGAAACACGTCCATAGCCAAGAGTCATCAATCATGCTCTCCAATTAGATTTTTGCGTGGCAGAAGCTTCAGTCATCTAATCAGTCTTTGAAGAAAATATGAATGGAATGTACTTTCAATTCCATGCCTGCTCTTTGAAAAAAAAACCCGCCCTTCTTTCTGTTGACAACTATAAAATGTGTATACAAAATGTTTTATGAGTTGACATCAGGTTTTAAAGTAAAAAGCAGAGGAAAAGAGGCAATACCTCTTATAAAAATTTTACAGGTAGTCTTCAACGTACAACAGTTCACTTAGCGACCATTTGAAGCCACAACAGCACTGGAAAAAGTGACTTATGGCCATTTTTCACACTTACGACTGTTGCAGCATCCCCATGGTCACGTGATTTACATTCAGACACTTGACAACTGACTCATATTTATGACAGTTGGTCCCCTTTTGCGTCGTTCTGTCAAGCAAAGTCAACGGGGAAATCAGATTCACTCCACGACGATGTTACTAATTTAACAACTGCAGGGATTCACTTAACCAAGGTGACAAGAAAAGTCAAAAATGGGACAAAACTCAGTTAATGAATCTCTCACTTAGCAACATAAATTTTGGCCTCACAGTTCTGGTCTGCATATAGTTTTGATGTTCTAATAGTTCATTTGTATACCGCCCAGAGTTGCTGTGTGAGAGAGATGGGTAGTTTCTAAATTTGATAATAAAATAAAAATATCCAATTCACCTTATTTGAGTTATAAGGCTTTCTCTCACCCATCACCCACTCACTGCTCAAAAAGAAGAGGGGCTTCTCTCCCACAATGGAGGAATGGCTGCAAAAGTTGGCAGAGATGGCTAAATTGACTGCTCTGATTTAAAAAAAAAGAACACAATTGCTTTTGTTTCTGAGTGGAAACCGCTTCTGGACTTTGTGCTTGAGGTGGAGAGAAAAAAAACACGAAACTTTGATGTTGGGTTTTGCCGATTAAATAGGTTTGTTGTTATAGAAATGGCTAGTTTGCGTTATTATGTAAAAGCAAAAAAGTTGAGGCTTGATGCTATAATCTTACACTAATGCACCAAAGGCAGTTGGAAGTCAACACTTTTCTTTTTTCTTCTTTGCCCTACACTTTTCCCTTCCCCTTTTCCCTCCATTATTTTCTTTTGTATTTTGTAACTACATTTTGATAAACCAATATTAAAAACTTTGAACACCAGAAGAGGGACTTCTCCTTCCTTTAGTCTTTAAAATTCCACACGTACTACAGAGTCCTGTTATTTACTACAAAGAGAATTCTGCAGAACAGAAGTTCCACAGTAAGAAGGTATTGATTCCTGTTGCAAGTCATGGCATTTGAACTGGAAGATCTTACTATCTATAAAGCGACTGTAAACACTACGGTCATAATTACAAAAGCAAGCTCAAGCCCGATTATTTAGCTTCGATAGAAAAAGCCAGAAATCCTTCATAATTGGCCCACAGAGCATCTGATAAGAATGTCTAGAGGTAGTAAGAATGAATCGTTGACATACTACAAAGTATTCTTGTCTGGAGAAATTTTAAAAACAAAAAGTAACAAAAACAGGATTTGTTCTAGCAACAATAGCTCCTCTTGTCACCATCTGGTTTGAAATAAACAAGGAACCAAAATGTATTTGAAGCAGCATATTACAAGAAAATACACAGATATAAATAAATAAAAGGAAACAGGTTATTGCATTAACTGTGGTAAAGAGAAAGAGGAGTGAAGAAAGTTACCAAAAAGATTCATGCCACCAATGAAAGAAAGATCGTAAAATGTCTTTTTTTCTGATGGATATATAAGAAAGTCAGTTTGGTATAGTAGTTAAGGTTCTGGCCTAGAAACCAGGTGAATTCTAGTCCCACCTTAGGCATGAAAGCCAGCTGGGTGACTTTGGGCCAATCACCAGGAAGCTGGGAGTTCTAGTCCCACCTTAGACAAGAAAGACGTATCACCAGGAGACGGTGAGTTCTAGTCCTGCCTTAAACATGAAAGCCAGCTGGATGGTTTTGGACTAATCACCAAGACACCATGAATTCTAGTCCCCCACTTAGGCTTTGGGCCAATCCCTCTCTCAGCCTAACCCACCTCACTGGTTTGTTCTTGTGGGGAAAACAGTAGGAAAGAGTATTAGGTATGCTCGAGTTACTTAAAAGGTAATAAAGGTGGAGCAAGTTACAAAAAAGATGGGTCTGGAAAGGGATAGTCAGGAGAAATTAGTCTTCCGAGAGCTTCATTCATTGAGTCTCTGAGCTCTGTCCAAGGTCCTGAAATATCTGTTTTTAGTCATCCTTGTCATTGAGATCCCTCGAAGATATCAGTGTTGCTTTGTTGTGATACATAGGTACAATACTCCAGTGCTGATGTTTCTTGAAAATGGCAGGAGGACTTCAACTCCCAGAATTCCCCAGCCAGCTTGCTAAAGATTGACAGAAAGCATATACAGGTAGTCCTAACCTACCAACAGCTTGTTCAATGACCATTCAGCTGAAAAAAAGACACCAATGACCCGTTCTCAAGGCGTCGCCATCACAGCGTTTCCACAATAACAATGCACAATCACAATTCATCGGTAACTGGTGTGCATTTAGGATGGTCGCAGAGTCCCGCAATCTTACGATCACTGTTTGAGAACTTCACATAATCACTTTCCGTCATTGGGGAAGCCAGCAGGATGTCAGAAGGTGAGGTTGTATGATGTTGTGCTTAACAACCCGTGGTGATTCACTTAACAACTGCAGCTGGAATTGATGCTGTCAGTCAGCATGGACGTGTGACATTGAGCCACTTAAGATTCTGGTCCCAATTGCAGCTGGAAAGGGAGCATCACCTGTATACACGATACCTGGTTGAGTTTGCATATTATATAGACCAGGAGTCTTCAAATTTGGCAACTTGGCACAGCTGGCTGAGGAATTCTGGGAGTTGAAGTTCACAAGTCTTAAAGTTGCCAAGTTTTGGAGAGCCCCGTACTAGACAAAACGAATGGCCTAGTTTGGAACTCGGCATGTGGTGCAAATCCAGCCACTTTCTGTGAAAATCGTCTGTTATTGCTTCAAATCTAGCTAGATCCTTAAACTGCAAAAGAGGAAGTTATAAGAATAGCAATAAGCCAATTCAGTTGATCAAACACTCATGAAAGTGGTTTGCACTCATGAATTTTTTTTTCCCAATATAACCCAACTAGCTGAGTTCAATGCAATAAATTTGGCTGAAAACCATGATTTACAAGCAAGGAAAGGCTGCATTACAGATATATATTTTTTTAAAGTGAACCTAGCCAATTGAGTAACAAAACTTTTAGCGCTTTATCATGTCTTTCAACCAATACGAATGCATGTAGAAGCCACATTAAAAGGAAACTTTTCCCATGTAATTATTAATAATGCATTGATAATATGATGTTAATGCACTTTAAATAAGAAAGGGTCCTATATCAAACAAGATATAAAATTTAAAAATTTATTTGATTACATTTTTCCAAGCACAAACTGGCACTGGTTACACGAATACTCTTAAAAGTGTTTTAAAACAGATGGGCATAAAATCGAGACAAAGTTTTGGTAGACACAAGGTATTTACAGATTCATATGTACAAAATAAAACACACGGATGGCAAGGCCTCAGTTCTCTTCTACCAAGAAGAAAACACCTTTCCAAATATAGCCAACGCCACAATGTGAAACATGGCAAATGGCTCTAAAAATGTCATGTAGTGGGAGAGAAACCAACATTCTTCAACAGCTTACCATTAGGATAAAAGAGCAATAAGGGCATCAAGAAATTTGCTCCTGTCTTCCATTTTCAATTCGATTACTAAAATAATAAAGGAAATAAGTGTCAGAGGGATAATTCATTATCCTGAGTGCACCTTCTTCAAGATGTTCCAATGGTGCTTTTTCAAAAGGCATGTGGACTTTGTTTTTCCTGGAAGACTTTTCGCTTCTCATCCAAGAAGCTTCTTCAGTTCTGACTGAATGGTGGGGGATATAATATAAATCCTTCCATCCTCCACTGTTCAGTCAGAACTGAAGAAGCTTCTTGGATGAGAAGCGAAAGGTCTTCCAAGGAAAAACAACACCTGCCTTTTGAAAAAGCACCTTTGGGACAACTGTCACCTGGATGACTGACAATCTCCATAGACATTGGAAACTTCAGGTCTCTAATAATCAACACCCTAATACACTTCTATGTTCTTAAGAACCAATTCAGAATTTAAAGCAGCTTATGCAAATTCATTTAGTATGAAAAACATTAAGCTGTATCATTTTCAATGCCTGCAACTAAGCAATCGATGGTCTTCCTTATGACTTAGCCAGCAATGTGAAGTAAAAGTCTCTACAGGGAGGCAATATACATTAGCTTCCATCATAAAGCATCGTGCGCTTTGTGTACCATCCTTTAGGGAAAATATATGTATATATATGTGCCCTATATAAGAAAGCTCCAATGAATTTTACTCACTGGACATGTCGAAGTGGTTGTGTAAAGTCCGAGAATTTGTGTTTTCGGCAGCTTTTTCAAACGCTCTCCCAAAAAAGCTAGAAAGGGAGAAAAACACATCTTGGTCAGATACTTGCAAACGACACGTCCTACGTTTCTGATCTCGCTCGCCACTTATTACTGCTCCCCATGCTAGATCCCATAACATTCCAGAAGTTCCTTTCAGTCACTGAAACAGTTGCTCTTAGCAGGCCTATCTTCACCACGCTCAAAGAATGAGATCAAAGAGACCCTCCTGTAGGTTAGACAAAGCCCTTACTTTTTTTTATCGGAGCTTTCTGTGTGAGGCGGGGTCCCAACCATGATTACTGTCCCTTGCTCGAGATTCATGGGGGCAGCCATAATCATGGGCAGAAGTTTGCAGCGCTTGTTTCTGGTCTAAAAAAAATAAAAATCAAACATCAGAAAAGGGGTTTAAAGTCTAAAAGGATTAAGACGAAGCTCAAAGGCAGATTCCTAAGACCAACGAGCTGGGTTTGGGGTGCTGGTTTTTTTTGAAGTACAGGCGAAGGACAAATTTGAGGATTAATGCTATCTGAGGAAGACTGCAGATAGAACCAAGATGGGACTAAGCTAAGCATCCTAAACAGACTTCGCTTCCACTGATTGCTGTCGCAGTCTCATTGCACTGTTAAGTTTGAGATTTATTTTTTTTAATCTCTCATTGCTTTTAAAAGGGAGATTGACATACCTCGCAACCATAAAAATAGTTTGGAACAAGATTAAAAGGCTTTTAAGGTGCCACCCGCAATACTTATCCAAGTAGGGTTAGCACCAGATTATAGCAGATGGATGGGTGATTGAATGGATGATCTAGGTAGTCCTCAACTTACAACAATTCATTTGGTGACCGCTTGAAGTTTACAACAGCACTGGAAAAAGTGACTTAGGACCACTTTACACTTATGACAGTTGCAGCATCTGCATGGTCATGTGATTTACATTCAGATGATTTGACAACTGGTTCGTATTTATGACGGTCGTGGTTTCCTGGGGTCCCGTGATCCCCTTTTGCAAACTTCTGACAAGCCAATTCAATGGGGGAAGCCTGATTCGCTTAATAACCATGTTACTAACAACTGCGGGAAGAAAAATCATAAAGTAGGACAAAGCCCACTTAACAAATTTCTCATTGAGCAACATAAAGTTTAGACTGAATTGCCGTAAGTCGAGGACTACCCATATTCAGGTACACTAACTGGTATTTGCAACAACTATGACAATAGCAAAATGACAGGTACATGTAACTGCACAAAACATACAGAATTCATGTTTGATTCGTGTTATTTGCACGTTATGACATCGTCGCATGTCATCATTTTCCTCCTTCTCTGGACATACTTTGCTAATTTTTTTGCAAGATACTGCTTTAGATTTGCAACGTTACTTTACTTGAGAATCCAACGCTATCTAAGAACTATTTAGAACTAAAAGCCACCCTGCCTTTTTCTTGTTTCACTGTTTTTCAATGCTTATCTTAAAGCGCTGAATAATTTAATTTAGGGCCAAACCAGGCAGGATGTTAAAACAGTTAATCTGCATATTTTATTTTTATTTTTTTAAAAAGACATTCCTGGGGTGGATTACAGAAATGACATCAGGTAGGAAGTCTGTAATTTTTAGTTTTTCACCCAATCCTAATGCAATTTCAAGGAAGCTTCCTCTTTACAAAACATTGTGTGTATGAGTTAAGAGAAGCACTGATGCTTCTCTTTTTTTAAAGCAAACTTTATGGTGTGTGAGTCATATCTAATTTGGGCATTATTCATGGTATTTTTTGATTGATGGCTTAAATGTCATGCTTCAAAATAAAGCTCCCAATGGTGGATGCCATATTACTAATAGCTTACTTACAGAAGAAACTATAACTAATAGCTTACTTACAGAAGAAACAAAGGATTTAAGCAGGCACTTGGTGAGTAGACATAAGGATATTGGCCTGGAGAATAATCTCACATCTGGGGTACCCTGAAAAATAAATATTTATAACTAAGTAAATGGATGGCTGGGTAGAAAATTAAGATAGATTATGGATGATAGATCAATAGATAAAGATAGATAGATAGATAGATAGATAGATAGATAGATAGATAGATAGA